AGCGCTTTGAAGCCCAAGCAAGTGATTGTCTTTGAAGACTTAGTGGCCGCCGGTTATGAGGTGGTGCGCGATCGAGCTCTTACCATGAACGAAGTGAAAGCGGCCTATTCTACGTTAGCCAAGTGGCATGCCATCAGCTACAAAATMAATCTAGAGGTTYTTATTAYACTTGAMAATTTGAAAAGATTTGGTTGAACTGGATATTCGACTGTAATTAAATACATTCTTGCATGTGTTTTCAGGAACCACAGTTTTTTGACGAATTTCAGCAGGGATTATTGAGTACGTCGAGCATAGAAGAACAGCCATTTATGACAACTGGTATAGAAAATTTCATAGATCTACTGAGAAAAACGCCTTCTTTACAGGCTTATTTACCATATTTTGAGAAATTGAAGCCCAAACTCTTAGAAAGTTGTCGTCAAAGTTATGCCGAGTACCGTGAGTCGCCGAAAGAGGGTGCATGCTATGTTCTCTGTCATGGTGATTTTCATGACAAAAACTTGATGTTTAAACATCACAAGGAAAGCGATGACATGGTCAATGTTATGCTGTTAGACTTCCAAATTTGCTACGTGGGTCCGAATGTGAATGATTTGATATATTCCATCTATTGTATGTTGGATGAGAAGTTACGATTAGATTTTCCAGCACTGCTGTACTATTACTACACCGTTTTCAAAGACACTCTAGCCAATATCGGTTTTAAGGGTACTTCACCGTCACTTTTGCAGATRAGGCAAGAACATATGCGTCATAAAGACTTGGGCAAGTATTGAGCACTTAACTACTCTTACAAATTGTTCACAAATTACATAACTGTTTCTCTTGGTGACATAATGCCACTAGCCGATATGTGATGAAATAAATTTCTCTACTTTTATTAGAACTGTTTCTCTTGGTGACATTTTTGCCCATGTGGTACGCGCTCAAAGCGAAGGGGAACGTGGAAAGTATGATGACATCCGACGAATATCGTCGCTCTATGTACGATTCAGTGGAATATATAAAGTATGTGGAGCATATTTTACCTCAGTACTTGCATCTAGGCTATTTGGAGGATTAATTGTACATTAACAATAAAAAAAACAATAAAAAAGAACAAATTTTTGTGAAAGTGTGGCCCCGTCTTCTAATAAGTTTAATTTTTTCAGGTTAGAACACCTCACAATCGTCATACTCGTATGTATATTGATTTTGTTAAAATCGATAAATAAATACGCTGATACATTAAATTCTCCGAGGTGATATTATAGACGTTATAATAGCCGAGGAGAAAAATGTACAATGGGCACCGTCATGCATTGGCAAAAGTCATTTTTTATTGAACAAAGGTCATTTTAAGCATAATTCACTGTTTATGGGCACCTTCCAACTGACTAAGCACTTACTGTAGTACTTGATACCATTATTTATATATTTATAATGGAATATCGATGATTTTCAGCTATGATGATAAGAAAATAGCTATCATTAATCATAAGTACCTGATAGTTAAATAAATAATAATAACGGGGTACGGAATGCTAAATGAAAGTACAACCGGAAGGCGTTGAAGTGTTCTCAGGTGCCAAGGCTTTTTTAATAAACAAGTAAAGCAGAACAAAGTTCGTATGTAACGAGTAGTTTATATTATTGCAATTTGCAAAACTTTGTGGCAAAAATTCGTGAACTTTGTTCCACTCAACTCTTTTTAAGATAACCTCAAGTCCGGCCAAAATGTCCTCATCAACACAATTTTCATCTACGTGGGCTCTCTACATGTAACATAAGTAAGGTATACGAACCGTATGGAAAATAAAATTGTGATTTGTGGCGTGGACGTGTTTCTAGTTAAATTTCATCCATCTTAAATTTGCTTAAAAAAACAATTGTTTAATTCAACAAAACTATTTTACTCCATGCAACATGTTGCGAGAGTATGAAAAACATATTGATATAACGGTATTTGGCAGGTGGCACTTGTGACCTATCAGTAAGCTTTTAATTGCTTTTAAGTAGTTTCCGAAGTAAACAAGAAACAACTTATTCGTTAATAATAGAGAACACCAGCTGCAAGCTTTCAAACATTATTCATTAAATTTTAGTGAAATAATATATCATACATAGATACATATGTTTATTTTTATTTTATCAGAATAAATATCACTACTAGTTTTTTCTTACTCTATAAATATTTGCTTCTTTTTTCCCTTCCCTGCGGACTCGGTACTTCACTTGCCTCTACCATAAGTTAGTACAGCTGTTGGACGGCTTGAGAGTGACTATAGAAGTATGCGTGAGCAGTTGAGGCAAGCAACACAGTGAGAACAATTTGTCTTATCTTT